GATATTGATCTACTCATCAAATATGAAAGTAATACCTATTTTGTCTTCACAAAGTGCCTGCTACATTGCTGTATTTTGTTTAGAAATAGCAGTATCCAAAATCAGTCCACTAAGAGAATAACGATCAAGAAGCTTAATTTGAGGATTTAAAAATTCAAACAAATTGTGAGCTTCTGGCTTGTTAACTTAGTTAAAAGCCCAACTACATGAAATCATTAATCTTAATAATAAAAATTAAATGTTTCATTATCTTGAGATAATAGTAGTCTAACAATATAATTATCAAGAGGTTTATAGGAAAGGGATCGTGTAAAAAATTTTTGATTGGACGACTATAATGATGTAGATATAGCATTGTGGGATAAAGTTTGGGAATCTTATATATATATATATTATTTGATATTTTTTTTTTTAAAAAAAAAATTTACTATTCTTCTTATATTGATATCATCATTATCTTTAGATAGGGCAAAAATTTTTTCTCTTTGCTTAGCTGTAGTTTTTGTAACAAAATTTGCATATTTTTTAAAATATACTATAATTCTATTTGTTTTATTAGAAAAATAAACCTTCTTTTCATCTTCCTCATCTAGTATATCTATACATAGTTTACAATAATATTTAAAATTATATTTATTAATTTTGTTCTGGGTTTTAATATTAGTAGTTTCAAGTTAAGTAAATAAATACATACTTGCTTAACAATAACAGAGTATGAATTCTATTTTGAACTTGAACTATAAGTTTTAATTTAAATCCGTTTTGTTTTGATTTTTTTTTCAAATCAAGCAAAAATACAAAGTTTATAGATCCAACTACAATACTAAATAATAGCATTAAATGTTTCTTTAAACATTCTAAATATAACTGATTTGGTATAAAAATATATCAAAGTTTACTTAACATTTTTTTTTGCTTACTATTTTGTTTAAATTTGCATTGTAGTTAGGACTTCTATTTATAGTATGCTTCTAAATTGAAATATCAAGTCATGTGCTCAATATTTGCTATTCAGGAACTATGTGTGATTGAATTCAAATTTGTGTTAGTAAAAAATAAGTGTAAATTACCCACAAAGCTAATGACTAAATATACTCTGGCACATTAGTAATTTGACTGAACTAAAATCTTTTTTTGCGATAATCTTAATCACACGTATTTTTTTTAATACTGATAAATATAAGCAGAAATTTTTTTTTCTCTTATTTCATGCCTCTCAATATATTTAACTGATTTTTAACTGCGAACGCAATATAGTGACCCGAGTATAATTTTCATATGCATACATATGTTGTACCCCAAATGATAATCCTGTCCCGATTGCCAATTGGGACAGCCCAAATTAAAATTGCCCAAATCTAACCTTAATATCTGGGCTAATTAATTTATAATTTTGGCCAGATTGTCATCTGGGAAAATTGTCATTTGGGGCATGACACATACATATATTTTTTCACTGATTTATAATCAGTGATCTTGCTAATAGCTACCCTGAATTCTTTTAACACTTACATTATATACACAAACAATTTTCTCATACATTGGCACGTCTTTTCTATACAGTATATAAGCTATGTTATTTCTTATCTTCTTTTCACCTGTTTAAGTTTTCAGCACTTCTAATATACATATATATTACTGTTATTAGTAAATTTTAAACTGATAAAATTTCTTTTTCTCATCACCATAACAAACCAATATAAGCAAAAGATTTATAGTTCAACAACAAAGGCATGCACGTAAACAGGAAATGCAATCAATTTCGACTGAACAAAATAGAAGTTCTATTGGGCAACAGAAAAGATGACAATGTGAAAGGTTGGAGAATATAGAAAATCAAGTGGTTACTTCTCAACAGACGATAGAACATAGTCCACGAGAGGATGCAATTAATCGAAGAGCATTTTCTCAGCAAAAAAAAAAGCTTCGCAAACGTGATAGCAATATTATAAATCAGAAATTTATTGCGCAACAAGAATGAAGAGAAAATGAACGAATTAAAAGAACATGTATCTTAACAAATTCTGCAATAGTTTTCAAATTTCAACAAAATAATA